CTCTTCCGATCTTAAGCGTTACGGGACACCCTGTATAGTTGGAATGGAAGAAACGCAATTGAGCAAACTTCAGGTAACTCAAAACCAAGTTATTTTGCAATGCAATAGATACACCAAAGTTAGTCACATACTGCAGGCACTGCAGTTTATGTCCGTAAGACAACGATTATGTTATAACGTGGGTGTATTTATTTTTAAAATTTTAAACAACATGGCGTTAAGCAATAGATTAGAAATAATGGGAAGTGATAGACAAACGAGACAAGATGGAAACATTGTTGGAATTAACATTCCGTAGAACATAGAAGTACGCAAAAAAATCTGTTTTACGAAGGAATAAAAATGTACAATTCTTTACCAACCGAGATAAAGCAGTGTAAGAATTGATTCGTTTAAGAAAATGTTGAAAGTATATATAGTAAATAATGTATAGTAATTATGTACAGTTATCAAACTAACTTATAATTGTTCGGACAATGCGTTAATATAATAATAATTTCTAAAAATTCAAGATAGAACAACTTTTGTTAAAAATTATCGTAACAAGATTTTTAAAAAAGCATTTTACAGCTTGAAATCTCCATTTTTCAAGTTGATACTTTAGAAAACGATTAACCGACTTTCTTCGGAGTCGCATTGATACAAATGGAGACATGACAAATCGCAAAATTTTTTCCTAACTTTGCAAAGTTCCACGATCCAAAAAAATGACCTTTTTTGCTTTGATGTTGAATAGCTCGGTAAAAAAAATCGTATAACGCTCAACAAAAAAGCAAATTAAAGAAAAAGATTCATTCTTTCGAAAACTGTACACCTCGTTTTTGTGCGATTTTTATTTCGGGCCGTGGAACATTGCAAAGTTAGGAAAAAATTTTGCGATTTGTCATGTCTCCATTTGTATCAATGCGACTCCGAAGAAAGTCAGTTAATCGTTTTCTAAAGCATTAACTTGAAAAATGGAGATTTCAAGCTGTGCTTTTTTAAAAATCTCGTTACGATAATTTTTGACAAAATTGCTCTATCTTCAATTTTTAGAAATTATTGATAAACGCATTGTTCCGGACAATTAATTTGGTGACTGCATATGTATATGAAATAGCTGAGAAAGCTAATAAGTTCAATAACTCTCTCTCTCTCTCTCTCTCTCTCTCACACACACACACACACACACACACACACACACACACACGCACGCACACACACGCGCGCGCGCGCGCGCGTACATCACATAATTGTTGCATTTATCGCTATTATCTTTTTTCAATTTTATTTCTAATATATTATTCTGATAGATTTGCGTCAAATGAGTCACTAAATGCAAACAAAGACTTTTTAAAAGTTTCCGACGAAATTAAATTGTTACAAAATCGATTTTTGCAATCACGGTCTTATATATATTATATATACAAGGTACCCCAGAACTGGCGTACCCACTACCAGGTACCAGCGTATTCTCCGTGAAATTCTAAGACGAAAAGTTTTTTACCAAAACGCGATCTGATGAATAGAATTTGAACGGTAAGCTATTGAAGTTCCCAAATGGGCGCGCGTGGAATTCGCGCGGTCAGGGTCGACACGGCAGAGACTAGCGCGAGACACTTCAAACACTTGCATCGTGTCATAACGTGTTTCTTATTACTCTACTTTGCATTTAATTTAATTAATTAGTCAAAAATGTGTAAAATACATGATGAATTTGTTATAATAGTTTAAAAATTGTTGAAAACATGTGCAAATTTATTATTTAAAAATAATAAAGAATCTTTATAAAGTGTTAATATTGTTTAACGAACATTAAAATAGTTTAACAAATGTCAAAATTATGTAAGCAATATTACAATTATTTTCAAATTTTTATTATTGCTTTAAAAAATTTTTCTTAATAACTCATAACTGTATTAAAAATGTCAAAGATGTTGAACAATTTTGCAATTTGTTTTAAAAATGCAAAAATATTTAACACAATTTTAAAATTGTGTACAAAATTTTATCATTGCTACAAAAATATAAAATTAAGTAAAATACCATACAAATACTTTTAAAAATTTTAAATTGTTTAAAATATCTTAAAATAGTTAATAAAATTAAAAAATTGTTATAAAATTTTGTAAATACAATTTTTGGATTCTGAACAACATTTAAAAGGTTTTAGCTAGTGTTCGGACACCTTGGATGATGCTAATGTCGACGGTACTCCAACTTTCAAGCTTCATAACTTTCAAGATTTATTTCATAAAAATATTTTATCTATGTGTTTTGGAAAGCTCTCGAGGTGTGCTACAAGAATATGTAATAAAAAATGGGGAATTCCATTTAAAAAAATTCAAAGTGATCTTGTCCTGACTTTGACGACGCCACTCAGGGTCAAACCAATGTTATCATCTTATGTACCCTTCGAAACCCTACAACTTTTGTCTGAAACATTTTTCTCTTAAACCTCGCGATTTCCAAATATTTGACTGTCAAATATAAAATGGGACACTCTGTATATATGTGTAACAAATATTTGCACCTTGTAAATTAAAACGCTTTATTCAACTTACACGTTTGCTCATTATGTTTGGTTTTATCATCTATCGAACTCGTTAGGGATCGTGAGCCGTAAAAAGAAAAAAAAATGAAAAAAATTCTAATTGAACCTAACTATTTAGATTAAATTCTCTTTAATCGATCTTTATTAATCTCTTATTTTGAAGAGATTTTTGTAAAACATACATAGACAGGGGAAAAAGTTCCGGAATGGCCAGTTATTTTGGAAAGTATTCATGGTTTCATCTAAAAATGTTTCAAACAGAAATTGTAGAGTTTGAGAAAATCCGTTATCTGGTGATTTTTAATTGAGCTTTGGTTGATCTTAAAAAGCGCAATTAAGATCAATAAAAATCTTAAAATAGAAAACCCTATTTTTTATTGCATATTCTTTTAATTGATATCGAGAGCTTTTCAAAACATTATAATAAAGTTATTTTTCATTAAGTATTTTTCGAGTTATAAGACTCGAAAATTATAATATCGCTGACATTGGAGTAAAAAAATGCCACGGGATCAGTAACAAACTATGGAATTCTTATCTTTGCTGTGACATATCCACACACATCACACACACAAGGGGTAAATTCGACTTGATAATCTCCATGTGGTACACACCTTGGATAATGCTAATATCAGCGATATTGTGGCTGCGTTCCATTTTGCTTATGCGTTCTGTATATGATTTATCCTTGTTTAATTTGATAAATAACAAGGATAAAATGATTGCGTGAGCGTTGTAAGTGCCAAAAGCGTACGATGACGGAACGCAGCCTGTAACTTTCAAATCTTATAATTCAAAAAGTACTTAATGAAAAATAATTTTATCATGTTTTGAAAAGCTCTCGACGTCAGCTACTAGAATATGTAACGAAGGATAGGAGTTTCCATTTAAGATTTTTATATTGACCTTAACTGCGCTTTTCAAGGTCAATTTTTCAAAGCTCAAATAAATATCAACTAATAAATTTTCTTAAACCCTACAACTTTTGTTTGAAACATTTTTCCATAAAACCAATAGTTTTTTAAATAATTATAGCCGTTTCCGGAACTGTTGCCCCTCACTATATATATCCTTTGGAATTTTGGATATTAAGGTATACTCGACAATATGAATTATATTCATCCAATCTTATATTCAAGATCATATTAAATCTGGGCAGTCTTAAGATTCCATCCAATCAATGAAATAAATAAGCGCCTTGAGATTCGTACGTAAGACGATTTTAAATAAAGGGGTCGAATGTGATAGATAGTTTTTTTTTAATTATTTGTTACATATAATTTTGAAAATTTGCTTATGTATTCGGTGTCTCTTCCAACAGAGCTTTTCGTACTGAATTTACGTGTGCACACTTTCTTTCTGCAACCGGATACAATACACGTGTACATAGCGTGCAACATCGACGTGGATGTCCTTGGATAATGCGCCGCGCGTTTCGTGCATGTTATTTTCGTGACTAAAGATTACTTAGACTTGAGCGGCTATCCGCTGTCTAAACGCGCAATTTAACCGGAATCATCGCACACGTGGAGTGGTGACAATTTATTTTCAATTTGTGAGCGAGACATGGCATCACGCGTACACAGCTGCGAAAACGCATGAAAGAGAATGACGAGCTTTTTCTAAAACTAAGCACGAAAGGAGTTATAGAGCAAATTTTCTGCATTCGAAAGTTCCTAGCTTTTCGTTTCGCACATACCGTACGCTCCCAGCTATTACTTAAGGGATGTCGCTCAAAGTTTCGACGTAAAAACAAATAATACAACAATACTCAATAATACAACAAACAATAATCGTCAAATATCGCAATATTGGCTTAATACCCGATTTTTCTCTTTGGCAATAATTAATTTTATTCTTATTGGTATTCTTTATACAGATGCTTGTGCAAAAGTGTGTGCAAAAGTATTCAATTTAATTTGTTCGTTTAATTCGGCAATTTAATTCGTTACAGTGCATAGATTTCGGCTTCATATATAAGAACTGTGTTTTAAAACCGAAAAAATTGCGGCGCGTAGTTTGTGAGGCACTGGATATTGTATTATAATAATAAAATTATTATACACACGCCAACATCGTCTATGTTTCTAGATTTTATTTCGTTATGTATTTCTGATTAATTTTATTTTCTTTAACATGAATTCGTGGAGTAATGTAATTTTTCGTTATATTAAATTTTCTTTTAATTTATTAATTCAGCATCCCACATTTATATGCATCCTGTTTATATGCTCTTTTTTTAATTTGTTATTTTACAATAATTGTAAGAGTTCTATTATTTCTATTTATTCTCTAATTTCTACCTTTTTCTCTAGTATAATTAGAAAAAAATATGCTTATCTTTGCGTACACTCCCAAGCAGAACAACAAGCCATCATAATATCAGATGATTATTAAAAGTCATTTTTCGATCCATTCTGATTTATTTTAATTAACGTCATTTTAACTATTTTTAACGATATTATATAATCTGCTGTTCAAGCTAGTTCTATATTACGATATAGAAAATATGTGATCCGACCGAGCGATCGTATCCTCTATAAAGTCTAATCATATCTATAATCATAAAATTATCTCAGGAAGATAACTTTATCGAATAAAGATATCGGGCATAAGAATTATGTAAATGAATCATCGCGAAACCATAACTGGTTTCTAGATTATTGTTGCAAATATTTTCAAGTCGAATCTTATATCTCTATATAAGGAAAACACTACTGTACTGCAAAGTTGCGTATACTTTCAAAAATTCATGTAATCTATTAGGAAGCGATAAGAGGAGTCTTTAGTAACAGAATATGATCGGTAGAATAATCCACTGTGAAATGAAACTAATAATATTATTTCGAGATTGTGCAATCTTTCTTGAATTAATTTAAAGCTGATTCGACAAATTAATAGCCTAGTCTTTATATAATTGCGCTATATTATACCTTCTGCACTTAAATAAATAAGTACAATATAATCATAGATTAGAGAGAAAAACAGAAAAAATTATAAGAAATTCAACTGTGAAGAGCAAATAAAATGTGTATACATATCTCGGAAGGCTTTTAATATGGAAAATTAGAAATACACGATAAGATGATGATTTCCCTCGATTTTCATTAAGAAACATCAACGATTTAATGATAGAATTTGTAGATAAGAGTGATGTAATCAAACTCCAATTTAATATCATAATTGCAGATAATCAAGTTATGTACTTGACCTATTTATATTATATGTTCTATTTTAAGTAACATCTGTATTATTATGTTAACGTAGATAGAATTATTAACTTTTTGACGCATGGAAAAAAATATATAAAAATTAGAGAAATATAGAAATTTTTTTACTGTAAGCAATTGTGTTGATCGAATTAACGATTAAGTTAATTGGACTTTAGTCAAAATCGCCTTAAGATACTATCTCAAGATACAAACTTAAGTTTATGTGCGCGAACACTTATTCTCTACTGTAATTGGATATTTTATACCGTTTTTATCTCCTTTTTTAATCTCTATACAGGGTGTCCCATATATAATAACCGCACCAGACCTCGTGGACAGGTAAAGCAGATAAAACTGAACAGATAAGTCCTGTGCCATTTTGCAAAATTCGCAATCGTTAAGAGGATGCTGAAAGGTCGGGAATTACCGACATTTGCATTCTAATGGATAACACCGAAACGATTGAACAGATCGGAAGAGCACACG